CCCCCCACCCCACCCCCGCTGCCAATCCTCAACAGAAATGCTCACAACAATGGAAACCTCGGACAGGAGGAAGAGCGCGGCCGGGCGGGCAGGCAGGTGTCTTGCTCAGCTGTGGCTTGGGGGGGGCACTTTTTTCAGTGCCATTGTAACTTCGAACAGTCACTAAGCGAACTGTTGTAAGTCGAGGACTACCTGTACTTTATCACTTTCCCCCTTTTTTTTTTTTTTTTTGGTCATCAAGTTTTGGACACCTTGCTAGGCGACTGGTGGTACTCAGGATATTGCCATATCCTAAAAGTGGTACAATGGGTGAAAAAGTTGAAAAGCCCTGGACTAGAAGACCTCCAAAGTCCCTTCCAGATTCTATTCTATTCTATTCTATTCTATTCTATATTTTCTATTCTATTCTATTCTATTCTATATTTTCTATTCTATTCTATTCTATTCTATTCTATTCTATATTTTCTATTCTATTCTATTCTATTCTATTCTATATTTTCTATTCTATTCTATTCTATTCTATTCTATATTTTCTATTCTATTCTATTCTATTCCTATTCTATTCTATATTCTCTTATTCTATTGGCATTAATGATGACTGCAGCTCCCTGCGAGATTCCGCCCACGATGGGAGCCACCAAGACACCACCCAGCAGGAGCTGGCAATTCCAGAGAAACCAGTAAGTGAGCCTTCCGGTCATTATTCAGAGATGATGCAGGATGCAACACCATCCTGCCCCCCACACCCCACACCCCAAAAAACCCCACATGAGAATTTGGACGCTTTGGCAGGTGTCGAGGTAAAGGCAGATGGCTGGCAGCTGCAGGAGAAGGGATGCCAGGAACCAGGCCTGGAAGAGAAGCCGCCACAGTAGCCGCGGCAGCTGGCGGCACGGAGGGAAGATGGAGCACAAGCTGGTCAGGGAGCATCTGCTGCCACCCTCTACGAAGGGACTCGGAGCGCCTGGCTGCCTTCCAGAGAACCGAGCAAAAGGGGAAGCCAGATGTTCTAAGGCAGTGATGGCAAACCTTTTAGAGACCGAGGGCCCAAACTGCAACCCAAAACCCATTTATGCATCGTCGGGTGCCAGGCAGGTGTGGCCCATTGGGTGGGCGTGGCTGCGGTGGTAACAGCAGACTGGGTGGGTCTAAAAAGTTCAATCAATCAATTCCAACTTTGCAAGATCTTTTTTTTTCCCGCGAGAAGTTGAAATTGATTGATTGAACCTTTTTTTTTTTTTGCACACGGCGGCGGAGGCCTAAAGCGAAAAGGTTTTATAAAACCCAGCTGAAGGCCTAGGACTGGGGCGACGGTGCGGGTGCCCACAGAGAGGGCTTTGAGTGCCGCCTCTGGCACCCGTGCCATAGCTTCGCCACCACTGTTCTAAGGCCAGCCATTCTCTCTCCAGCATTGATGGAGGCGCCGTGGAGGGCAAGGCGTCTGCACAGCGCCCCTTTGTGCCTCGTTTCTGGGGAACCCAGATCCAGAGCAGGCATCCTTCTTGACCAGACTTTCCCACGAGGCAGAAGTACCCAACCTTTTGGGCACCAGGGGCCGGTTCCGTGGAGAAAGGTTTTGTGTGCTGCCTGCATCCCACAGATGGAGCTTTTGCTTGTTTGTGTGGACCGGTTGCTGGCGTGCCCTGGCCCGGTAGCGGTACACACATCGGGGGGTTGGGGACCTCTGACGTAAGGGACCCTTGGTGCTCTCTGAGCTTGTTTTCTTGTAGACCTTACATTACCCAAATTGGGTAACGTCGTCAGAGAAGGGCAACTAATCACTGCAGTTTGTGGAGTAACCCGGTTGTTAAATGAATCTTTGCTTGTCAGGCGGTCCCAAAAGGGGATCACAGGACCCCGGGATTCTGCATCCATCATAAATACGAGTCGGTTGCCATGCGTCTGGATTTTGATCCTGTGACTGTGGGGGGGGGGGGTGATGCAACGGTGCGGAAAACGGTCGTAAGACACTCGTTGCAGCTTCGAACAGTCCCTAAATGAATCGTCGTGAGTCGAGGACCCCCTGTAACCCGAAGAGTTCTGGGAAAAGGGGCGCAGGGTTTTATTTACCTTTGGGTTGGGGGCTATTGGAGTCCTCCATGGACAGTTTCAGCTGCTGTATGAACTCGCCACCATACACGCTCCTCTCCTGCCAGATGTTCAGCAGCCGTTCCAAGGGCTTCTTGCAGCCCTCGTCTGCCTCCCTGCCAGGTAGGACAAAAGGGCAGAGTAAACAGCAGGATCAGAAATAGCGGCTATCAAAGAATTCTAGGGCTCGAATAGAATGGAACAGAACAGAACAGAACAGAACAGATAGAATAGAATAAGGAATGGAATAGAATGGAATAGAACAGAATAAGATAGAATAGAATAGAATAGAATAGAATAGAATAGAATAGAATAGTTGATATTACTTACATACATACATACATACATACATACATACATACATACATACATATCTTTAAAATCAGTCTGGAGTCCAGACAACTAAATGAACAGGATCATGTATATATATATACATATGAAGAACAGTTGCTGGAATTGGGTCGGTCTAGTTTAATGAAGAGAAGGACGAGGGGGGACAGGATAGCAGACTTCCAGTATCTCAGGGGCTGCCCCGAAGAAGAGGGAGTCAAGCTATCCTCCAAAGCGCCTGAAGGCAGGACAAGAAGCAACGGGTGGAAACCAATCAAGGAGAGAAGCAACCTGGAATTAAGGAGAAATTTCCTGACAGCAAGGACAACTATTAACCAGTGGAACAACCTGCCTCCAGAAGCGGTGAATGCTCCAACACTGGAGGTTTTTAAGAAGAGACTGGACAGCCATTGGTCTGAAATGGTGTAGGGTTCCCTGCCTGAGCAGGGGGTTAGACTGGATGACCTCCAAGGTTCCTTCCAACTTTTTATTATTATTATTATTATTATTATTATTATTATTATTATTATTATTATTATTATTATTATTATTATTAATCATCGCACAGTCAGCCAGATGTTCAGACTGGATTTGGCATTTTTGTCTACCTATCGAGTCCTTACCCAGGACCTGGGATAGGCAGATGCGGATGTTTGATGGTATTACAGATCTCGTCGCAGGATGGAAGCAGTTCCTAGGAAGGCCGCCTTTTGCAATTGACTAATGGCGAATTTGTCAATGCCGATGGTGTTCCAGTGGTGCTCCAGTTGTTTTGGGATGGCACCCAAGGCGCCTATGACTATTGGTAGCACCCTTGCTTGCTTTTGCCACAGTCTTTCTATTTCTATTTGTAGGTCTTTGTATTTTGTGATCTTCTCCAGGTCTTTCTCTTCTCCAGCACTGAGATGGAGACTCCACCATTGGGTAGTAGACTGTATTCCTGCCCAATCAGATCAAGTCAGCCAAAGTTGCCACGCCCGTCCTGGACCCTAGACTCCAGTCTTTGACTTGATCTTGCCCAAGACAGACGTTGCAAGTTTGGCTCTAGGCAGGTATTATTTCTCAATGGTGGAATTTCCACTCCCC